CCGCTACTGTAATAAATATATTTAGGATATATATTTGAAGCACATAAAAATTCTAAAAGATTTTAAATTATAAGCATTTTAAATATTTTTTGTATTATAACAACATTTATATTTGTGTAAAATTATGATATATTTAAAACCTTTTAAATAGAATATTCATTTTATCTATTAAAATATAGATGTATTTGATGTAAGATATATAATTAAATAATAAGGGTCTTAAGGTTAGAATTATTATGCCATTCTCATAGAAAATTACTTTTGATTATTAGGAAAAAAATTGATAAAAATATTAAAATGTAAAAAGCTTCTTTATAAGAAAATTCATACTAAAACGGTTTGCTAATAAGCAAGAAAATAAATCTCTTTCTTCTAAATATTGAAATTTCATTTAAACAATCAATAGGAATGGATGTCTTGAATTATTTTTATATTCTTTTTAGGGTATTAAGATAAAAAAAAAGAGATATAATCTAACACTTATATAGTAAAACCTATTAGTATAAAAATTATTTATAACTATTAATAAATAATAATATTCACTTTACAAATATGGAATCGATTTACTAAAATCAAATAAATAAATTGAATCTATTTTTAAATGACACAGTAAAAGTGATTATGACCTAAGATGTAATTCCTGTAATATTAATTAAATTTAAGAAAAATAATAATTAGCATAATGATTAAAAGAAAAAAATAAAGCATGGAAAAATAAAAATTATTAATTGCTGTGATTAGAATTAAACAAAAAAATCATACACAAATTTTCGCACTAAAAAAGGATTTTACTAATTATAAAAAATTTGAAAAAAATTAAAATAAATGAAACTTAAAGAAATATATAATGCGTACTTCTGAAATAATTGAACCTAAAAAGTAATAAAAATCTATAGACAATAGATTCTCATAATTCACCTGTACTAGTTTTTTTTTAAAAATTAAAAAATCTTTATAGTAGTATTATGCGTAATAATGTAAAGCATTTTTCTAACCTATTTCAATATATTATGTTACTTACACTTGAAGATAAAGTGCAAAAATTGTGAAAATGTAAATTTTTTTTGGCATTCAAAAAAATTTACTATATCATAAATATTGATTGAACCTAGATTTTATTTATGAAGTGAAGAAATATATATTTCTATGCAAAGTATTCTGATATTTACCTATTCAAAAATTGAGTTAGTGCTAATTGGCTTTTACAATATTTTCTTTTAAGTTTGTTCTGGATTTAACAAATTCCTACCTCAGTGAATATTTGGTTCACATTCTTTGAAATAAAATTCTTAGGTGTTATACAATTTTATATATTTGAATTTTATTAAATTCTGAAACGGATGAGAAAATAATTTGAGTTTAAATTTAATATCTTACCTTCTTAAATAATAACAATAAGTATATATTAATGTAAAGTTAATTTGTTTGATATAATACAATGATATAATTGATATAATTATATTTATAATAATTATTATAACTAACAATTATTTTAGATCATAACTTAATTTTATGGAAAAGTATAAACAAAAAGATTAACTTTACTTCTATCTGTAAATCTACTTTATGTAGAATTTTATAATAAAATAAAATTGTTCTAGTTTGTCATCGAGGTGAAGGTAAGCTGTATATTTTATCTTATTTTTTAATTTATATTTATTTTTATTTATATATATTTTTTTTAATATTTTACTAATTCTTTTATATTTTTTTAAGTTTAATCAGTTCTTCTACTTAGATTAAGAACTAAATGAACCTTAAAATGAAACTGATCAGTTTATCACCATGGTAAAAGTAAGCTATTAATAATTTCTTTCTTTTATTTTTATTTTTTTTATTTATTTAATATTTTTATTAATTTCTTTATTATTTATTTAGATCTTTCTATTAGAGTAAAAACTAGACAGAACTTTCATAAACTGATTGATTTATCACAGTTACAAAGATAAGCTGACTAATTTTAATTAAATAATTTATTTTTTTTATTCTTTATATGTTATAGGTTAATTTAGTACCATTTACCATTTTTTAGACTAAAAATTTAATGGAATCTTTAAAAAGAATTATTTAACTTATCACCATAGACTAAGGTAAGCTGATTAATTTTTTTGATTTATTGTTTATTTTTTTTTTTATTTTAATAATTAATTTGATTACTAGTTAATTTATTTTATCTTATTTACAATTTTAGGTTAGATTATCAGTGATTTTTTATTTTTTCTTAAGTTAGATTAATTTATCTCTTTAGCTGAAATTATCAGATAAAATAAGATTTTTGTTACTACAGTATATGTTCTTACTGAATTCTTTCATTATTTTAAAAAAAATTATAGTAATCATAATCATTCAGTCCCATTTTTTTTTAAAAAAAATCATATATAAACAATCATTATTTTTATTAATGTTGATATTAATATTTAAATTGATATTGATATTAATATTAATATTAATATTGAAATATATTGATATTGATATCAATATAAATAAAAATGGCTCCTATAATTCCTACATGAAACTAACTAAATTTATACCTATTTCTTTTTTTTTAAGAATGACCATAGCTTTCACTATATAAAAGTAGAATCATCTGATACTAATATATATGGCATAAACTATATATAGTATTAAATAAAGTTATTATTACAATTTTAATTGTAAAAAAATTAAATTGTTGAAAATGAAAGTTTAATTATTTTTATTAATCTGAAATATTGTTTAATCAAAGTGATCTAATATACATTGTTCATTCGCTTAAAATTTGAGTTAATGCTAATTGATCCTTTTGTTATACTTATATTTTAGACTTAATAATAGTTTCTGAAACTATTTTCTAGTTAAATAAATAAAATTAAACAATACAATTTAAAAAGAAGTAAAAAAAAAATTTATTCTATTGTTAAATTAGACTTTTTATTTATTTATATAAAATTTACATTTATAATATTTTTAATTACATATTTGACGTAAAATTTTTCTATAATATATTTATTACTGTTATTGTTTAATCTATTATTTTATAAGAAATTTCTAATCTTATTTATATTAATTTTTAAAATAAATAATATTATTTTAATAAATTACTATAAATAAAAATGAACTAGACTATTTTATTGTTAATTATATAAAATAAAGTTTATATGTTTATATATATAAATAAAAAAATAATATAAATAATATAAATTTAATTATTATTGTTCTAATAATAAGCTATATTATTAAAGTCAAATTTTATATATAAATAAACTTTTTAATAAAAAACTTAATTATATTTTAAAATGTTATAACAATTAAATATTTTATATTTATTTATTTTATCATTTTATTTAAAAAATATTTATTATTAATTACATATTTAAAGATACTTAAAAAATTAAACTCAAAATAATATAATATAAAAAATTACTGCTATTATAAAATAGTAAATATTTCAAAAGTAACTTAAAATTATAAATTTATTTTTTTTTATAAATGTATAAAATATTAAATGAAATCAATTAAATAAATTGCAAAATTATTCTTTATTAATTTTATTAAATAATTTTCTTTAAAATAATTTATTTGTTTTAAACTTTTAAAATATAATTATTAAATTTATAATTAAATAATCATTAAATTTTTTATAAATTTATTATATTAATTTATTCTACTATTTTACTAAATTAATTACTATTAATAGTAAATTCTTAATACAACAAATTTTAATATAAAGAATTTTATAATATAATAAATATTTTATTTTAATATAAAAATTTTTTCATTATACCAAACTTTATTAAAAAATACAATATAATAAATACTTTATGAAATATTTATTATATTTAATAAATCATTTTATAATAAATTTTTAATTATAAATTTTTTTAATGTGATAAAAACTTTTATACATAGTCTAAATATTATTTTAGCATATAAAAGTAAAATTGATTTTTTCAAGCAGTTTATCTTTACTATATCAAATATTTCATATAATCAAAAACTTATAATAATTTTAAAATAAAAATATTACATTTTGATTTATCTCAAATTTTAATAAATTTCTTAAATTAAACTTATATTTAACAATGTATAATTTTATGTATTTTTAGATATAATATCAAAAGTTATTTTAACATAATTTGGTTGGTTAAAGCCTATGAATATAGTATTGAATTTGAAATTAACATCAAAAGTGCATAAAATTTGTTGCATACATATAAGATATATTACATAAGAAACGATTAAAAATTGCTGGTTGAAGGCAAACATTTTGCTTAAAATTGATGAAAATGAAATTTATATGGATGATGATAAATACACGAATTTATTCTATGCATACAATGGAATTGTAAGAAATTCAAATATTTATTGATAAGTTTGATCTTACGTTAAGAATTCTTTTAATGCTGAAAATTTATTCAATAAAATGATTTATAAATTTACTTTATTTATTTAAAAACTGTACATTTTAATTACTATATCGAATATTTAATATTGCTATACCGAGTAATTCGTTATGGTGGTACCTTAATTTTCCTAGAAACAATTTCACTCTAAGATTTAAAGTTAGGTAGTGGATAGGAATGTTAAACAATCCGATCCGATATTTAATAATTTGGCATATTTAGTCTAATGATTATAATCTCAAATGATCAAAACTTTTTTTTTTTTTTTTTATAATCTCGTCAAACAGTCATTTCTTTTAATCAACAAAGGAATTTTTTGTTTTTTTACAAAAATTTGAACACATTAAATACTTGCACAAATAATTTAATTAACAAGCCAATAGATATAGGCTCGGATAGAAAATTTAGAGAAAGGATCAAATTGTAAAATAATGTAGTCGGAACAATCACTAGTTATGAAAATCCTTTTGCAAATAAACCTATCACGTACCCCAAAACGTATAATTCAGAAAATTTGGTATTACCAATGTTTAAAGGGTTTTTTAGGTTAAAAATTTTGTCCTTTATTTAATATTTAAGATATAAAATCTTGATAATTTAAAAAAAAATTTCTCTCGATTAAATCTGATCAACATCAGCATTTTGGGGGTTCGGAAGATCTTTAAAAGTTAAAAGTTTGCTCGTATAAACTGCTTGAGGATGTAATTTAATATCTTTAAAACCGGTAAATGATGAGCTATTAATTTTATACGCTTCTAAAACTTGCCTATATGCTAATGAACTTTGAACGAAGAAAGCATCAAATCCAAATTTGTATAATAAAGAGTACAATTCATTCGCATTGGGACGATTTGAAGGATCCGCATCCCAACACCTTTGAATTATATCTAAAATCAGAGGCGGAACTTTACAATTAAAACTTGGTCTCAAACCTTGACAGATTCTTGAGGCCAAGGATTCATCATGCGCCACATCATGATAAGGAGGTAATTTGGTCATTATTTCATATGCTATCATTCCAAATCCGTAGATGTCGGCCGCTTGTGTGTGTTCATTACCTACTAATATTTCGGGGGCCACATAAGGCAACACACCGTACACCTGAACTTGGTCATCTTGTATAGATTTTGGATTTGCCGGTTGACTTGATCCCAAGTCGGTGATAGAAACAATATAAAATGCGTGATCCAATTCGATTGATAAGCTGCCACAATGAAAATTACGATGAATCAAACCATTATTATGAATATCCTTAAGGCCTCTTGCAATATCTCTTAAAAGTTTCAACCTATCATTATTGTTGGAATTTTTAACACAATCTCTAAAGTTAATGATATGTTTAAGTTCCATAACCATCATAAAGTTACCGGTTTTTGGATCTTTAGTAATACCATATAATCGTGCGGAATTAGGGGAACCATTCATCGCAATACGTGATTCAACCTTGAAAATGGTAACGATTTTTGGTTAGCATGTCGTTGAAAATTTTTTTCTCGAAGAAAATAATAAATAACATCATAATATCTAACCTTTTTCAAGAATTCAACCGGATTATCTGGTTCGTCATGTAAATACCTTAGAATAACGCGACCTGGGTTATACCTTTTCCAACTGTTACGGACATAGTCCCATTCTAACATACATAGATCACCATACCAACTTGCGGTGTAGGTGATTCCGGATTTGTCTTTGATCAGAGTTTTAACATCTTCAAATTGATAATTGTACCATTCTATTACTTCTTTGTAATTCTTTGCTTTGAGTTGTGATTTTTGAACAAGCTCATCAACGTGATGATCTCCGCTAGTCCAATTCTTGAAATCCTGTTCGAAACGTGTAGCATTGCATGATTGACACCAATAAACATAACCGAAATCGCTTGTATCGCAACTAGTATTGGGCTGATAACATTCTCTACATAATCCATATGTTTTATAACGCGTTTTTAGATTATCATTTAATATCAGTTTATCAATTAACAAGTTATTCTCATCACTCAAACCCCACGGAATTATATCTTTTATTTGTTCAATTACTTCTTCACTGAATTTACTTTCCTCCATATCTTGAAGGTTAATGATGGTATGTTTTTAGGTAACAAGAATAAAAATATTTATACCGAAAGTCCGATTAAAAAGATCATTAATTTTGGTGAATGTTCATCACATGAAATCTTGGAATGCATTTTGCAGTTTGTTCTTTCCTAATTGATAAATACTTTCATACCCTATATTAAGATCACTAATCTTAAATTATATATCTGATATTAAAAAAAATTGATGGATAAATAAATAGTTGCCTAAAACAAAAAATAAAAAAGATTCATGAGAAAAATAGATTTATTAATTTGAAGATATCTGATGTGGGCGCTTGTCACAAGCTTTCACTGTAAGATTGATTTTTTGATAAAAAAATATATTAATTTCATCTGTTTTCTCTCTCTTTTGTACTAGTTTTTTATTTTGATTTCCTTATCAAAGCTGTATTTAAATTATCCTATTGTTCCGAAGTGGTGTGGAAAAAATAAATAAATAATAATGTTATTGAACATTAAAGAATTTAATTCAACAAAGTAACTCTATTATAAGTCATTATTAATAATCAAATGGCAAACTCATGTGCCATCCACTTTTATATCAATCTAAAATCTCAACCAACTAGGGTTACACGAACCCAGATCCAGAGAATTTATTTAAAAATATCACAATTTGGTGTTTTTGAAAATAAATAAATAAATAAAATAAAATAAATAAAATAAAGAGTAATATGGCTCCGGAATTTGAAAGGTATTATTCCAACAATATATTCGGAGAGAGTTCAAGTTGTGCGACGAAAAGTATAACAGTAATAAATATGCATATATACCTCAATGTAAGTACGTTTCTTTTTTCTTTACGCTTTATGACTACTTGTACGCAAATTCATGAATTCATGAATCCCTTTACAGGTTAGAGACCCCCTCCAAAAAGTCAAAATCAATGAATGCTATGATAAACGAAATTCAGAGCAAAGAGTCATTCAATTTACTCTTGTCTCTGAAGTGCCACTTGAATCACGGATTACAAGCCGAGCGTAGCTTGTAATCAATCCATCGTAGCCTTGTAATCAATCCATCCTTGACCCGATTAATATAACAGGATGGGTGCTCGGCAGGTGAAATACCTGCCTGCAATAAATTAGAAACAGCTAAGGTAATGATCACGTTTTTTTTTTCTCTAATCACGTTTTGATGGTTGATGGTAAAAACTAATTCAATTTACTTAAACATCTTTTATTACTCACCTAGAACCCCTTAATCTTACATTCATTGTTTATATCATCCACCACTTTTACTCATCTTCTTATTCATCGTTCTCTTTTTCTAATAAAAACAATAAAAATCATTTGAAAAAAATAATTGACTCGATTGTGTAATTGTGTTGATTTTATTTTGATTTTGATTTTCGTATGTTTAATCGTAAAAAGTTTGCTGTGCATTCCCTTTACCATCACTGCGTTTTCGCTTTGTTGCAAGGAAATTATTCATATATACAGTATATATATATATATATATTATGGAGTACACTTGAAAAACGATAGAATTTAATTTTATTTCGAATAAACAATTAGAACAATGAAGTTATCCTTATATCTTGGCATCGTCGTTCGTTATCATTCTCGCTTGAATCATTATCGTAACTTGCTGAACGTTTCGTTCAGCAAGAATGAGTCATATTTATTATATACTTGGTCGTTTCTTTCATTTTCATCCGAGTTTAATTTAGTATTTGATAAAAAATTATAAAAAATTATATGGTAACTAAATACGGGACCCAAAATATAAGATTATCATGATTATCGTACTAATTCAGAACTGTTTTCTAGAACAAAATTCGGGTCCTTTCGAATCTTTTCTAAAAATAAGAAATTGACACTTTTAAATATCTAAGAACGCCTATTAACTATGTGAAGGATAAATTGATTTACACAAACACCTTCCATATCAGAAACAACCATTGCTCTTGATGCTTTCTCTTCTCAGATGGTCTGCTGTTAGAAACATTTTTTTAAAAGCAATTTTTGGCCTGAATGATCTTTTTACTTCCATTAAATCATTCCAGAATTGTAAGCGATAAATGTTTATCACCACTTTATACAATCACATCATAATAATTCAGCATTAATGATTCACCTCACAATTGGGAACGTACAGTGGGGTATCAAAAGTCACCGGGAACTTAAAAATTAGAAAATTGACGGAAATTTTGATCTCAAATTAAACTTTTATTTTATTAATTTAATCAATTTTGGTTTAATAAGCAAAGTAGTTCGTCACGTCATAATGTTTTACATATATGGGTTGATTGCTAGGAAAATCAGGTTCCGGGAATTTTTTAACAAAATTGAGATTTTTATTGCAATTTAGTTTTTGATGTTGTTAGATTAAAATGTATTAAGCTCTTAATTTAAGTTAAAAACTTCTCAGAACCTGATTTTCCTAGAAACCCTCCCATATATTATATTTACAATTACGTATACATTCTTAATTCAGTATATTACTAGAATAATTAAAATAAATTAAATTAAAAAATTAATAAATTATCCTTTAACAA